GAAAATATGTATATCTATATTCATGGATGAGTTTGGGTAGAATGAAATCTATTTTGGGGTGTGACAGAGGCTTTCCCCGTGTTTGCGCACACGCAACTTCTGCGCATAATCTCGCTTCTGCGCCCATGGACATCGGTTCTGCATGACCGCAAATGCGCCTCAAGCTCCGCATCTGCGATCTTCCTCACCCAGCTCACCTCGCTTCTGCGACTCCTTTGTCGCTTCTGCGACTATCACACCTGCGCAAACCAGCCGCAGGTGCGATCACACTAGATCCTGCAACCAACAGCTTTAGCCAAAAATGATCCAAGCGACCCGAACCTCGCCCGAAACTCTTCCGAGCCACTCGGAACCCCTCCCGAATATACCAACTAATCCTATAATATAACGCGGACCTACTCGAGACATGAAATCATACATAACAACACCGAAACTATGAATTGCACCTCAAATCGAATTTAATGAACTTTGAACTTTTCAACTTTCAAAACTCGTGCCGAAATATATCAAATCAACCCGAAATGGATTCAAATTTTGCACACAAGTACCAAATGACATAACGAAGCATTTCAATTCCCGAAACCACAATCCGAATCCAATATCTTTAAAGTCAACTCTCGGTCAAACTTATGAGCTTTCCAAACCTTCAAATTTTTAACTTTTGTCAATTAGCGTCGAATCCTTCTAGAGATATCCAAATATAAATCCAGACATACACCCAAGTCCAAAATCATCATCTAAACCTAACGAAACCCTCAAAACTCCGTTCTGGGGTCAAATATATAAAAGTCAAACTTGGTCAACTCTTCCAACCTAAAGTTGCAAACATAAAATTCATTCTTCCAAATCACTTCTGAATAACCCGAAAACCAAAACCGACGATTCGCACAAGTCATAATACATCATACGAAGCTACGCATTCCCTCAAACTGCCGAGCGAAGTGCAAATGCTTAAAACAACCGGTCGAATAGTTACAACTTGGCTTCTACAAGTGGAGAAATTCTACAGCCGCACAATTTCATTTGTGGTTGTACTTTGGCTTCTACGGCCGTACTTTTCCTTCTACAATTTTACTTTTGGCAAGGCTTCACACTTGATCGTTTTGCACAGTCTCTAAACTTTTTGAATTCTTGTTAGTGTGACCTTGTTTTGCGGCCACACATTTAGTCTGCGAATCGCACTTCTCTAAAAATCCTCTGAGCTTCATCTGCGGTCGTAGAGATATTTCTATGGACCTCACTCTCTTCTGCAGCCACAGAATTTCTTCCGCGGACCACACTTTAGCTTGCTGCACTCCTTCTTGCCTTTATGAGCTGAAACACTCCTTTTGGAGTTATAATTCTTCGCTAAGGTCCAATTCTCCAGCATGCCTGCAAATTTGCATAATTTCATTAGTTTTGGAAACAAGAATTAACACTTTTGGACTGAAATTAAAATAAAAAGGTACTAATAAGTGGTTAAAATTCACACTGATAAGCATGCGGTTAGTTTTACTGTAAATTCTTGAATACAAAATGCTCACATGAATTCTGCATGTTAAATTAAAAATCCTAACTATTTAAGTTTAAATGGCTTCTTTTTTTGTGAATATCTATATTCTTTTATACTGTTCGTGTGTTTTAATGTTCTAACAATGAAACGGGTTCTTTATTTTCACCCTTTCTTCCTATATAATTATCTCTTTTCCTTCTTTTTTAGTTCTTTTGTTTTTGTTTCTTTTCTTCATTATTTCTTGTCGTATTACTAGTAACTAGTTTCTCGATACGTGTGTTGCACGTGTATATATCGAGTCATGTAATGCATAATTTTGTACAATAATATTAATGTTATTAAAATAAAATTTTAAATAAATATGTATACATGAAGAATAAAGTAGAAGTTTAGTTGTATGTTCAATGTGGATCGTCATATATAGTGACTTGTTTTGTTGGGGTAAAGATGCTTCGATATCGTTTGAACCTACAAAAAAAAAAAAAAAAAATTAATAAG